CCAAAGATATAGCTTTCACCTCTGCCCCCTCCTGCCTGCCAGCTCTGGGAGATCCCGACAAGCCAGGAAACTTCTCTAAAAGGGGTGGGCGGGGTTCAGGGTTGGGGGAGGGCCCCTCTGCCAGGCGCCGTCATCTCCCCTCCACCACACAGCTGACAGACACTTGAGAACTTTCCTTCCCAAGCCTGTGTCCTGCTGGTTTGGGGCAAAGTGTGCAGCTTTCCCACCAGGATCAGTGAGGAAATGGCCTGGTTTGGACTCAGACAGACTGATTTGTTTTCCCAACAAGGCCTCAGCTCAGTGCAGGGAGCCCCAGCATTACCCGTTTTTCCAGGGTGCCTCTCCCTCCCTCCCTCCCCGTCCCTGCTCCGAGAACACATCACCTAGTGTCTGTAAGGCTTCTGCTTCTTGTTTGACATCCCTTATTTACAAAGCAAACAGAATGTTCCTTTTAACACACATCATGCTAAGTTTATTAATGCAGAAAACAATCCCAGGGGGCCGACCCAGGGGACCTTTGAAACCTGCCAGCACAAACTCTTCAAACGCTTAGTGCGTCAGATCCTCCAGGACAATATTTCACACAATGGAGTAAAAATAATATTTTTCTTTGGGCCTTTCCAGCCGCTTTTGTGGCGAGCAGACAGAAATTATTTTCTTACTCTGCTCCTCAGAGCAGAAATCTGGACGAAGCTGCGTTTATTTGTTTAACGCAATGATTTCATCCTAAATGTCTCGACAGCAAATAGTTCGTGGTGTAATAAAGGGCCTTTGAAAGGAGGCTGGCGCTAGGGAGATGTGAGGCCTGTGGCTCTCAGGGGCCGAGTGGCCACGGGCTACTGCAGCTGGGGCAGAGGAGGATTGGGTGCCCCCCTCTGGCTGACTGGGAGCTCGGGGACAATTCGTGCTGCTTCCATCCTGGAGAAGGAAGGAGACTGACCCTTTGGTCACAAATGCCAGGTCTTCCCCAAGACCAGCTCTGCCAGATACAGGCAGACACAAACCCAAAAGCAGATTCTCAAAATTGCTTGAAAAAAAGAAGCCTTTTGAATTCATTCCTGCTTTCCCCTGATGAAAAATTATGTCCATGTCAACCAAATGTTGGTTGCTGTTCTGATGCCAGCCCAGAGTTCAGTAGCCAGGGCTCTGATTATGAGGAGGGAGAGGGAGCAGCACCAGCTCATGCCCATTGACTTCACCAACAAGCAGACCCTTCGCTCCAGCCAACAAGGTCTTCCAACTTGCAATTAGACGTGCCAACCAAGGGGCTTCCTCAGTGGTGCAGTGGATGAGAATCCGCCTGCCAATGCAGGGGACATGGGTTCGAGCCCTGGTCCGAGAAGATCCCACATGCCACAGAGTAACTAAGCCAGTGCGCCACAACTACTGAAGCCTGTGCGCCTAGAGCCCGTGCTCCACAAGAAAAGCCACTGCAAGGAGAAGCCTGCGCACCGCAACGAAGAGTAGCCCCTGCTCGCCGCAACTAGAGAAAGCCTGTGCACAGCAACGAAGACCCAATACACGCAAAAAAAAAATAGTGTCAGCAAAAACTCAGAAAGGCTCATTTGTGCTTCACTTCTTCTCCTTGGGAAGAATTGTCAGAGGGAGTAAAATGGAACAAATATACTCAGAGGAAAAGAGCCAAGGGAAGGTGGTGAATGGTATAAAAATTGCCCAGGTGGTCCTAGATCGTCAGGGTCCAGCTCCCTCATTTTACAGGGGAGGAGGGAGGCCCAGAGAGGGCCAGTGACATGTCTGCGGGCACACAGCTATTAGAGCTGCGACTGGAACCCAGGCATCCGACTTTCGAGATAAAATGAGAAAAGAGACCAATCTAGCCTTACAGCTAACAAAATCAAAAAGCTGAATTACAGGTCTCATTTTTGCCAGTTGGGACTTGGGTGGAACATCTGATTCAGTTCCTGGTGATCTGGTTTTTGGAATAGCTGATTTGGATCTGAATCAGTTTCCAGAAGGGATGCAAGAACCAGCGAAGAAGAGAATATCTGTTTATACATACAGATATATTTCCAATTATAATAATAATAATTATTCATTGAAGATTATATAGAATATATACAAGTATAAACAAGACAACAAAGATTACTTAATGGGCTTCCCTGCTGGCGCAGTGGTTGAGAGTCCGCCTGCCAATGCAGGGGACACGGGTTCGTGCCCCGGTCCGGGAAGATCCCACATGCCGCGGAGCGGCTGTGCCCGTGAGCCATGGCCACTGAGCCTGCGCGTCCAGAGCCTGTGCTCCGCAACGGGAGAGGCCACAGCAGTGAGAGGCCCGCGTACCGCAAAAAAAAAAAAAAAGATTACTTAATTATTATAAGTACCTATAATAAAGTATTACTGTTAACTTATTGGTATATCTCCTCTTGGAGATTGCTTTTGTCCTTGCTTCTATATGCCTTTTATTTATTTATTTACAAAATTAAGATCCTCATTGCTTTTTTTTTAAAATTATTTAATTTATTCTTAAGTATCTCCTCATATCACTAACAGTCACTCTGAAGCATGACCTTAGAAAGGCCTGTGGTATCCATCATATTATATGACTGTTATAATTCCTTTCCCCAATACCCTGAGTCTGGTCATAGGCTAGAATATCTTGGAGTAGGTCTTAAGGAACAGTCACTGAAAGACTGTCAGGCTGTGTGGGAAATGGCCCCCAAATTCGCACAGCAACTGAAATCTTTCCTCCACCTCAGAGTAGCTTCGATTGCTCTCAAATCCAACTGCCCGCCCTGCCCTCAACTCTCTTTCATCCTTCCCATTTCTCTCTTTTTCCTACTTCCTTTCCAGGCCTGAGACAGGCATATATTAATTCCTTACATCTGCATAATATTTTACAACCTCAAAGAGTTTTTATAAAAATGGCCTCATTTGATCTTCATGAAAAACCTACAACGTGGGCAAGGCAGAATGATCTCAATTTTACATTCAACAAATGTTGCTTGAGTGCCAACTTTTTGCCTTTTAATAGCCACTGAAGGAGGGATTCAAATAAGTAAGTCTTTATTTCAAGGACTTTTTAGTCTAGTGAGCACTTTTAAGAACTTCAGTAGGTGATGGCTGCTGTTATTATTGGCTTAGATGACTTCTGTCACATGGCTAGTTAATGGCTCAGGCAAGTGACCTAGCACATCTTCCACTTTCTGTACTCTATCCCTTATACCACAACAGTTAGTTAAGAGTTGATTCAGAATTGGGGGGAATGGTCAGGGCAAATGGTTGATAGGAAGCTTTTAGAATTTCCTCCACCCCTTCCTCTCAAGCCCTAGTACAAGGTCCTAACATTTAAGATGCCAAATTTCCCTAATTGGAGTCCATGAATTGTTCTTTGTGTTGGAGGTAGACATAATGTAATTTATCTTTTAATGAACAAGTGGTTGTTTTGGATTAAACTTCTTCACCCCTCAAAGGGTAAAAAGGAGGAAGGAATTGATAATAGTTATTGAGCATCTCCCATGTCTCTGCTAGTTTCTGTACTCTATGCTTTACATCTATATTTCATTTAAATCAGAACACACAAGAGGTTTTATTCATTGCTGTATTGCTTAGGACCTAGTACAATATTTGCCACATAATAAGCATTGAATATGTACTAAATGAATTAATGAATACTCACAGGTAAGAAAATGGAGATTCTGAAAGGTTAAGCAATCGGTACTAGGGCACCTAGCTAGTAAGCAATGGAATTGGGATTCAGTTGTGATTCTTCCTGGCTCTAGAGATGTGCTTTCCCAACAATCCACCCTGTGTCCCTTGGTAAGCTGTGTGCATGCTTTAGGCTATGGAGGGACTATTCAGTCATCATGGGTGTGGTGGCTTGGAGAGTCTGGTGCACTGTGCACAGACTACCATTTGGTTCATTTTTGTCTCTTTCTACAGTTCCTAGCACTTCATTATGAAAACAGCACCTGCTGTTGTGTCTGCTAATGGACTGTTCCCTTCCTCTAAGTCTTTCTGGATGCTCCTACCTTATATCATCGTTTGCAATGGCAATTTGACTCCTTGAGAGTAGAGAGTATGTTATGTTAAGCACTACAGTGTTTTTATATTCTTTTCAGAGATATGAATAACAATGGCCTCCCTCTGAAGAAGATAAAGCAAAAAAGTCAAGCTTTGCAAATGTTACCTCTAGATGCAGACCTGTGCCGTTACTAGGGACCTATTGGGCAGGGATAGGAGAGCTGCTGGCAGAGCTGCACCTTTCCTCTGGGAATGTCAAGTGTTCTCCTTTGGTCTGCGTGCTGGGTCCCGGCCAGGGAGCTAACTGTTAGATCTTGAAGGAAAGGCTCTTGCTAGCAAGACTACCTGGCTAGCATGTATATCTTTAAATCCACTGTATATGTCATTGTTCAAATGTCTTTGGGAATTTAGAATCCAGATGCTTATGTTTCATGCATTGCCAAGATGTAACATTCCCTAAGATTTGGAAAATAGAGCTTTATGAACTAAAATCAGAGTCAGCTACTCTGAAGTTGAACAGCATCTACCTTTTCTTTCTTTCTGAATAGTGAGATCTTTGCTGGTAATATACATATTGACATAAGAGAACAATGATGTCTAAAGGATTATAGGCACTCTCTGGGAACATCTAATTGATACTAAAAAGCTCTGTCAGGACTGTTTGGGAAAGAAAATTGATGGGTGTCAAGGAGAGTTGCTTTCAGCTCTGGCCAAGAACACTTTGGGTTCCTTTTTTATTGTCCTTACCTCTCCCCCATCCCAAGACTCACCCATTGCTCAAGTATGCGGTGCTCTTGGACTGAAACAACACCAGGTAAATATTTCAACACCAGCAAAATATTGACTGCTCCAGCAATATGATTTCTTTGTCTTCGTCACCCAAGTCTGAGTTTCAGCCCAGCAGTCTCTGAGAGATGTTTTGTTTAAGATAGGGAAGGGGGCCTTTCCAAAAGTGATGATTTTATTCTGCAACTTAAAAATAGAATCCTTCCTGAAATACTTTTTTTCTGGAATTCCAGAATGTGACCTGACACTCCAGATCTTCACTTTCCCTTTCTGGAACTTAGACCGTTATCTTGGAGGCTCGGTAAGTTACAGTCAACCCGTTCATTTCTAACCTGAACCAAATGTAAGCAGTCCCATGTGGAGGTGACCCAGGGAACATTTTTCCCCACCTTTTGAGACTTGCTGTGTATATTCCTGACATGCACACAAATAAATGATGTAATTGATCGGGGATACTAAGCAAACCACTCACATGTAGCACCTGACTATAGAATAACTTACCTTCTGACTCAAAGTTACTGGGCATAGAATCCTCCTAAAACCTCAAAGTGCTTGCTCCTGAGTATATTAAATCTCTTTTACTTATCACATCACTTAAAGCACAATGACAGCCTGGCACTTTTAATATTCTTTTTATGACATGTCATGTCTATCACAGGTCAAAAGGGGTCCCCCAAACAAAGCAATAACATTGAGTGAAAACTTATATAAAGTCTCTCTATTAGAAAAGTTTGTTTTGGCCCCCAAACATCGGCTTTTATGGGTTCCTGTAAAATCATGACTATTTCTTAGCAGTAGGATTTTCCAAGTCTTGCAATGAAATTCTTAGTAATACTAGTTACTTTAAAATGAAGAATGAGAGACTTTGACCTCAGGAAAGATGGGTTGGCGTATTTTCCCTATTCATGCTACTAAATACAACTAAAACCCTGACATTATATATGAAACAAGCGTAGGAAGACTCTGAAAGACGGAAAGAAGAAGGCAGACCAGCCAGAGACATGAGGCCCCAAGGAATGATGCGGGGGTGAGTTCCCTGGGTTTTCTTGTTGCCCCATATATCCTACACTTGGGGCTGCAGAAGCTGACCCAAGAAATGCCGGTGAGTGCAGACATAAAAAGCCCCAACAGAAGCCTGCTCTTTTTAGCCAAAGCACTAGGAAGAGTGCAGCCCAGCAAGGCAGAAAACTTAAATAAGAATCACTCTATTCCAGCCACATACTACAGGAAAAACTATGGCCTTACCCTACCCATGCCAGCAAAGGCCTAGACCCGCACCCTCACAAGGCTGTAATGAGGCACTGCACCCCGCTACCATGATGGAGTTAGTGAAGACCAAATAGCCAGGACTTTTATCCCTGCCAGTTGGTAGTGAGGCCCACTGCCTCCCCTGTAATTTTAGTGGAGCCCACATGGGGGGCCTAGATTTCTTCTTTTGCCCAGAAGTGATGAGGTATCCCTCCTCTTCCCCACTGGGGTGCTGTCAGAGGAGGCCCGGTGGAGAGTCAGGCCTGGCAATTTCAAAATTGCCAGTGGTGACGAGGCCACCCCTACCTCAATGTCAGTGGAGACAGCATAGGAACCAGATCTACTACTCCTACAGAGCAGCAAAGAGGAGCCCCCTACCTTGGATACCATAGAGGACAACTGGGCAATCTGGATTCTACCTCCACCTGTAAGTAACAAGGTGATGCACCCCACCTTCAACCGCTGGAGTGGTGTTCAAAAAGAAACCTGGGGGAACCAGACCAGAAGGTTTAAATAAGGCTCAGTCTCATAATATAATAGGAAAATGTCTAGGTTTCTATTGAAAATCACTTATACAAGAGCTAAGAAGATCTCAAACTGAATGAAGAAAGACAAACAATAGACTCTAACACTGATATGACAGAGATGTTAGAATTATCTGATAATGATTTTAAAGCAGCCATGATGAAAATATTTCAGTGATAGATATTTGAGATTAATTTACCAAAATCTCACAGCTAATGACACACCAAGTTCCAAAGCCAGGTCTAACTAAGCTCTTTCTACCACAGCATGGTGATGCCCAAGTCTCCTTAGATTCATGGTTCATGGATCACTTTTCATTTTAGCATACAAGTTCTGTACTGCTTTGTCAGATCTACACCTAAGTATTTTTTAATACCCAAGAACCCCTGTTGCTGTTCTCTGTATGCTTCCTTTTCATAGCAACCTGTTCTTGTTTTGTGGTCACAATAACTTCTCAAGTTTCTCAAAGCATGTGACTATGCAGTTATAAAGGTTCTCCTTTATGTCTTGTATTATATATCTTCCTTCTGTTGTAGATAATTCTATTTGTTCTTTTTGGGTCCTCTTTTGTGGTCTTGATTTTCCCCAAATGTCTGTTGATTCTTGATGAGTCTTCCATATTTAAGGGTGGAAGGACTAGGTTAGTAATATGGGAGGATGGTGTGAATCTTTTTTGCTGTTGAGTAGGTTTGCTGAGAGCTCTTGGTGACCATTTTTTTTCTTTGAAATCTTCATTGGTTTATATTAGTTTATAGAATTGAAAAGTGAGACTCGCCTGTCTCCATGATTTTGGCAATTCATATACTATCTGTGAATTTTCAAAGATTACCGGCTACCCCACCTGCAAATTGCAAACTGAAGTAAGGAAGACGTCAAGAATAAAGAAAGAATATTTTTAAAGGATAGCAAGACAGAGGATATGCTTAGGAAGAGGTGATGGGTGTAGAACCTTGTCTCAGGTATACGAGTTCTTTATTTCTGTTGATTATTATGGGAACACAATGCCTCCCAGCCACACGTGAGCTGTTCATAAATATTTATTGAGCTGAATTACTTTTCCCTAATTCTTCCTTTCCATTAAATAAGAAATTATCAAGAACATTCACAAGTACTTTGAAATGTTTTTAAGTGAAAGATTATTTGGACCTGTTTAGTGTGCGCGTCATCTGGGAGGGCGATTGCCCCACGCCAGGCACTGTTCTAAGAATTTTACGTATTTATGTTATTCAGTTATGATCACAGCCCTGCAAGGCAGTGTAGCAGTTGCTGTTGGCTGTCTGTCCATGTCCACTCTCACTCTCCTCTATGCCACAGACTGTTACTGCAAGCACGTGAAATTCTCTGCCGAAATAACCTTTTATTTTTTCCTGGCTGCCGGAGCACGCTCACCCCACGTGCAGGACACTGGGCTGCTCAGAGTTAAGACCCTCAGAAACAGCCCTCAGAATGACAGAGGGGGGACTTGGTGATAATACCCCAGCTTCCTTAACCCTCAGCTGGGAGTATCTGGGGTACATTGTGCACACTGTCCTGGAGTCCCTCATGCAAAGGAGTCCCAGTTACTCCCAGGTAACCCCTTATCAGCTGCCTCCCCTTCCCTGTTTCACTTCTCTACCCACACCAGGGTGTCCCAGGAGCACCTTCCAAATAAACTCCTTACTCTCAAATCCCTGTCTCAGAGCTTCTGGAGGCACCCAAACTAAGGATACTGGGTAAAATTACTGTCCCCATTTTGCAAATGAAGAAACTGAGGCATTGAGAGGCTGGTTACTTGAACATGGATAGAAAGTTAATAAGTGGCAGAGTCGGGCTCCCAAGTCCAAGTTTTAACCACCACCTTATGATGCCCTAATGCCTCTGAGAGCTGATGGGGGCGCTAGGCACCTTGATAAGTGCTTCATCCAACCCCTTGTACAGGTGATAAAATAAGCTTAGATAGGTTATGTAACAAATCCAAGGTCACAAGTAGTAAGTGTCAGAGTGAGGATTTAAGCTCAGGTCAGTGCTCTTAACCATCCTGCCACGCTGCCCCCTTGGCAGCCTGCAATGTTTAGCTGCTTTTTCAACTAGATGGCTCTCAGGTGGAGGTAAGCAGGGTCCAGGGCTCTCACTAGCATGTCCAAGGGGACATGAATTATAGTCCTCAAATGGGCTGCACCCCTTGTCCTAAGTCTTTGTGCTGTTTGTTTTTTTTTTTTTTTTGGTGTGAGTTTCATGAGTCTGCCTGTCAGCCTGGATCAGAGTCTCCAGGCTGTTTTCTTTCCTCAAGTAATACCTTCTAGTACTTACTTGCCTCTGCTCAGGAACGGTTCCGGGTGCTGGTCTTACCCCTGAGGAATGATGGAGAGAGGCCAGGGGTGGGTAAGGTAAGGCTGTCCCTGATGACTGAGCCTTTTCTCTGTGCTAGGAGCTTTGCATAAGTTATATCATTTAATCCTCTTAGAAATTCCTTAATGTAATTGCTCCTTTTCCCATTTTAAAAACCAGGAAACGAGGTTAAGAGAGGCTAAGTAACTTGCCCAAGGAATTCATCCAAGGTTAAATAATTCAAAACCCAGGTCTCTTGGACTCTCAAGCAGTTCTGTCTTCACTGAGCCGGGTGAGGGGCTGGCAAGTCAAGGATAGGTAGGAAGCTGCCAGCAACTTCCAGGGCACGCCCGTCCAGCATCAGCCGAGAGGTGCCAGACTGTTTCTGATTATGATGGTTCTAGCATAAGATGCCTGCTTAAATCCCAGTTGGCTGGTGTTAACGCTCATTGTAGGGGCAGATCTGTCATTCAAATCTTAAGCACATTCCCTTCCCATCTATGAGCATTCTCCAAGTGTTGGGCTCTGTGCTGACCATTACAAGATGGGGCTGAGAGAACAAGGAAAGATCTGATTCCTACTTGGGTGGACCCTAATGCCTGGTTTGGAAAAATGGACCACATGCAGATGAGGCAGCTAAACACACACATGACACTTGTATATAAACTACTTCTCGTGAGGGGACTGGGAAACAGTTGGGTTGGTTGGTGTGAATTTGAAGCCCCTTTCTGTACACTCATACCCAGTTTGGGATCCCATCGCTTGAACAAGACAGGAAAAATTGGAAAGGAACCAGAATAAATGTACAATATGAATTGCTCCATGACACAAATTATGAGAAATTTATTTTTCTAAAGCAAAATAAATCGGGTACACATAACCACTCTTCCAGATGTTGAGAATCCTGGGGCCAGATGTTGGGGTTCTGTATCTTCCCTAGGTAAGAACCCTTGGGCCTGTGGGGCAGCAGGGTCTGTCCTCATCTGTCACCACTGTTCTGTTTGAAGGATGCTGGCTCCCCTAGCATCTTCTTCCCTCCATGCCAGACGTGGCCTCAGGGACCATCATGGAGAGTCCTGGGTCACAGAGGTCAGTGTCCACCTCCTCAGGCACTGGGCATCCTGATTCCACCACCTCGGTGTTCCTGTGTGTGGGTGGGCTCAGCCCTCTGTCCCTCCTGGAATGCTATTTATACAGACCCCTTCCAAATCTTGGGAGACT